CCATCTATTTGCCATGAAGTGATAGGAGTAGATGCCATGATCTTAGTTTTCTGAATGTTGAGCTTGAAACCAGCTTTTTCACTCTCTTCTTTCACTTTCATCAAAAGGCTCTTTAGTTCTTTACTTTCTACCATAAGGGTGGTGTCATTTACATATCTGAGTTTATTGATATTTCTCCTGGCAATCTTGATTCCAGCTTGTGCTTCATCCAGCCCAGCATTTCTCAGGATATAATCTGCATGTAAGTTAAATAAGCAGGGTGACAATATAGAGCCTTGTCATACTCCTTTCCTAATTTGGAACCAGTCTGCTGTTCCATGTCTGGTTCTAAATTTATTATTATTTCCTATTTATTAACACTAGTATTTATAGAGTTATGCAATTTTATTTGAAAACTCCTTGTTGTTTATAGATATTTTTGCAACAGTTTGCGAAATATTATCTTATGGATGTCTGGAAATGTTTTCATTTTATATTCAACTTAAGATTTGTTTAAATGAGAATTTTCTGTGTTTAGTGGTAGAATTTTAGGTGTTTTTACTTTAAAGTTTTATTCTTAAATTCTAGATCTAGGGATAATCTTTCCAATTTTTATAATTTATTGTATTTCTGTAATTTTCATGGGCACATAAATGAGAAAAAAGATAGGAGGAAGGAAGAAAAGAAAGAAGAAAAAGGAAAAAAATAGAAAGAAAGATGTTTTCTTGCTTTTGAGTTACTATTAACTCAACTGACAAAAATCAGTTCTCCTAGGAATCAGATTATGATGTGTCTAACACGGTGTTAATGGTCTCAAAAGACAGTAGGAGAAAATGTTTCTAATTGGACCTCCGATGTCCACAAGGCAACAGTGACTGAGTCTTCTAAATGACTGCGATATTTTCTCACCAGCGACATAATTTTCCTATTGTATTCCTTCCCCCTCTTGAGCAATGCTTACTGAGATATCTAGTTGCTGATCTATCTCTGCTTTTTGAGAGTATCTAAATCTAGAGAGTACCTACTTCCCTCTCATCCATACATGGATGCATTTAGCAAAGCCCATACTCTAGAAAAAGCCTCTTTCTTCCTTTCTATAAAAAGCTTCCCTTATAGCTCAGTTGGTAAAGAATCTGCCTGCCATGCTGCAGACCTGGGTTTGATTCCTGGGATGGGAATATCTCCTGGAGAAGCAAGTGGCAACCCACTCCAGTATTCTTGCCTGAGAAATTCCACGGACAGAGAAAACTGGGGGGCTACAGTCCTTGGGGTCACAAGAGTCAGACAAACTTAGTGACTAAACCACCATCTCCCTTCTTACTGAGTTGTCCACAGCTTCTGTGCAGTGTGCACTGCAGAAGCAGAATTTTGACTTCCAAACTTTTTGTGTTCTTTTGCTGAGCTTTAATAATATAGAGTTTCTGAATACGAATTTTTTCTCATTACGTCAAATAGATCTTTTGTAACTTTATTTTAAATTTTTTCTTAACTTTCTATGTCATGGACTGGAAGAAATACATCTACTATGATTATGTGGTTTTTGTCCATGTATTTCCTCTTTTCTACTTTACAAATGTTAAAGTAATATTATTTAATACAGAGATTTTTTCATGAACTTTTGTGCATAGTTCAATTCTTCTATGCAAGGCATTTTCAGTCATTGCATTTAAGAATGTTTCTATAGGGAGATGTATCAGGATAATAAAGCCTGAAAGTTGTCTGTCTCTAGACAGTTTAGGGTAGTAAAGGTGAAGACCTCTCCCTCCTTCTCAGGATATGATTTGCTAATCAAATCAGGACATTATCTGATTTTCAATTTCAGATTGAATTTAGGGTTTCTCTCTGCAGAGGGTATTATGGGCAGGTCACCAGGAATCCTAAGTAGTTTCCTACTTTCGGGATTCATCTCCCGTAATGCACTCTGCTTCATGGGCTAGTGCCGTCTGAATTTTCTTGGTATTGTTCAGGTTGTGATTTGCTCCCAGTAAGTGTTTCCTGCCTCAGTCCGTAATTTGGAATATCTGGAAATGTTGAGAAAGGCAGTGAACTCCCATCCTGTCTGTCAATCATCTAATTCACAGCTTCCTATGGTTTAACTGATTAATGAAATTGAGACGAAATATAACATGGGATCTCAGGCTTTTTGTTAACACGCTTGTCCGCAGGATGGCTGTGTGCTTGATTCTGCTTTTCCCTGAGTGGATAGAACATGGTGTTCAAGCCCAGGTATGACTTCTTGTGTTAAACCTGGATTCTTTCAGATAGTGGGAAATAAGGCTTCATTTCTGGGTAAATGAGTTTGATCTGTGGCACCAAATTCTGCACTGGATTTCTACGCTTGCAAGAGGGTACAGCTGGGGATTCACTTATATTTAAAACAAAAATTTAGTAAGAATAAATGGATATGATCCATAGTTACTGGATTCCTATGTTACTTTCCTAGTTGGTTAGAGACCGTGTGTAGAAAGGAGGAATACTGATCCATAAAGTCTGAATATGTATGAGGATTCGTTCAATTGTTCTTTTCTCCCCCTCTTTCTTTTCGGCACATTTTCTCCAAAGAGATAGAGAACATCTTTAAATTATTCATTGCAATACTAAACCAGCTTAGTTACAGAAAATAGCAAGAGTAACAGTACCTCTTAAGAGAAACCAGCAAAAATGTTTGCACTGGTGTCTTTATCCTACTGTTGCTAGAGGTAATTTACAACATTGACTAACACGTTTCTTTATTGCTCTTTTCTATTTTAACAGCAAGGTATTTGAAAAAAGGGCTCCTCAGAATGTACAAAAGCAATATCGAAGATCTTTTTAGATGCCTTCTCTCTAAGTCGCAACCCCATTGACTGTAGCCCGCCAGGCTCCTCCGTCCATGAGATTTCCTACACAAGAATACTGGCGTTGGTTGTCATTTCCTTCTCCAAGGGATTTTCACAACTAGGGATAGAATCCATGTCTCAAGCAGATTCTTTACTGTTGATCCACTGGGGAAACCCTCTGAGAAATATGAATTAGAAGGTTATTTGATCATTTCAGATCATAAAGTTGATCATCTTTCAAAAGCTACTGATACAATCAAGGAAATATATTTTGTATAATTTTTTGTTTGTAACTCAGAAATATCTTCTACATCTTCTGCTCTTGAGAAATAAGAGAGAACTGTCTGTTGCTTGCTGAACAATGTTGAGTTAGAAATTGATGTTCAGTCTAGAAACACTTCTTTCCAATTCCTTTCAGGACTTCTCTCACATCGTGGTTTCGCAGACTATAAATGAGGGGATTTAACATGGGGATCATAATGCCATAAAACACAGAAGCCATTTTTTCTTGCTCTTGAGATTCTATGGTGCGATGGTGCAGGTACATGTAAGAGAGCGTCCCATAGAAAATGGTGACAGCTGTCA